GATCAATCCCCTGAACTATTATTGTGAATAGCTGAAAAATACTGTCAAAAAACCATCTTAGTATTCAGACGTCAATTAATTATTCTCATAAACCTAAAATGATATTGTGACTATTATTTGTATCTGTGGAAGGTATTCATAACCAAATGATTATATTTGAAGTACCACTGAAAATCAAGAAGTATTATATACCTATTAGATCTCAGTCTATTTCATTACTCCATGGCTTCTTATGAATGCCCGACTGAGATCAATCGGTAACTAATACCTCGTACAGATTAAGATGATCTTTATTAAACTATTTCATCTAAATGATAATATTCAGTTCACCAATGACTTATTTCAAGATCAGTTCCGCAAGTTTTAATGAGAGTTCATGATGGATTGAGTTCACACACGTCTACAATATTGGCGGACAGCCATTTCTAATGAGTATTTATCGATAGAAATTTAACATCAAAACTAAAACCTAAAACATCACCGATAATTAAGAACAAAACTCTTTTTATGAATATCAAATTGAAAGAAGAAATGGCTGTGCAAATCTTTAATAAATCAATATCAAAGTCACTTAGAAAGATTTTCAACTCTACTAAGTTTTGTATTGTCCTCCTATGCTGCCATACAATTCATGAGTGGCATTAAGAATAAATTTTCCCCTTAAGCTACAAAAATGTGAATCTATGAGTTTAATTGCTTTTGTTATACAAACTACATTGATTACACAAAGAGAACACTTTCTAAACCCATGTCAGAATACTATTCATCACTCACTCAATACAATAGCACCTCATCAACTTAAGTCAATTTATCCTAAAGGAATCATCCTTTCAAATAATCGATAAAGTGAAAAACGGAAGTCGAATCAAAACTTTATACAATTTTCAGGTATTGACAATTCATCGATTCAAGTTTAAGCTCTACATCCATAAACAACACGTATACCCTCTTATCTATTCGTGGCCATAAAATCCTTCTCCAGTGTGTTTTGATCGTGTATTTTTTTCTCTTTTTAATATTATTTTGTACTAATCTCTAACAATTGTCTATAATTACTAATTAGATCTAAAGTTTAAATCATTATCATCTTCCTATTCTGCTTGATCGTTATGGCAAACTTCTTCTGATAAAATTTTTTAATCTCGGAATACTTTATGGAATAATAATCTCTTTCTGTTCTAAGACAGACTCATCTTTTTTTAATTAAACAAATATAAATATAAGATGGTGAGACTATCATATATGAACGAATCAATCATGTATACGATAACAGGTCTTAGATTTTGGCTCGAAATTCACTCATCCATTTGGTTAGATAGAGTGTTGGTATTATAACCGTAGTTCGTGCGAGATGAAAATTCTAAATCTAATTCTTAATCTTAACTATCAACTGTAAATCATAATATCAATTCCCCATTACTTACTTAATTACGCCTGTTTAACCCAATAGATAATAGGCCAACGACCAGCATTCTCCAACTCACTTTCTCTTGGATCTTCCTTTCTAGTTCTATTTAATTTTTGTTCATTCTTCTCATGTCTGTGTGTGTTCTTCGGACTACTTTTCCTTTGGTTTTGAGGATTCCGTGTGAGGGCTTGCCTTTTGACGCAGTTGGAAGCTTTCTCCAATGTGTGTCCTATCCACTTCCAGCGATTCTTTCTGATCTCTTCCTCCGCTGGATTCTCATTTGTTCTCTCTCACAGTAGGTTGTTACTGATAGTGTCTGGTCAACCGTTTCGAAGTAGTTTGCATAGACAACTGTTGATGAACACTTGTATCTTCTGAATGATGGCTTTTGTAGTTCTCCAGGTTTCCAACCCATACAGTAGAACTGTTTCGACATTTGTATTGAAGATTCTGTCTTTAATGTTGGTTGACAATTGTTCCCCATACTGGTTTTTTAAACCTCATTTAGTCCCAGTTATTAGGTAAACACGCTCAAGGTCACTCAAACGTCGTTTACAGGTCGTCCATAAATTATAGTCTTACCTAATGAAGTTTCAATCAACTTTAAACCAGTGAATAATAAAATATGAATTACAGTATCATGTATCAGTCATATACTATTTATTATATTTATTTGAACACATGAATATTGGTACAAGAGAGCGCCAATATATATGCGCCACACAAAACAATGAGAATTCGAAGAGAAGTAGAAAAAAAAAACTAAGGAGCGCAAAAGAAAAAGAGAACAATGACGAAGAGATTGGAGTAAGGTAGTGTGGTAGTAACGACGGAACGAAAAGGTACAATCAGAAGAAATCTTCCAGGTAAAGGAGACACAACCACTTTTTATGAAGAAAGTAAAAGAAGGTTACAGCAGGATCGCCACTGGCTTCTATTCTGAGCCATATCTGATAACGTCTCTAGCCACTGTGTCGCACCATCTCTCAGACCCCAACCAGGGAGTCGTGAAGGACCAACAGAAGCCAGTCCTTTGCAGCTTTCTTTCATACCACGACATTATGTCATGCACTGACCACCTCTCCGCTTCTTCCAACCAGTCCCAGAGTCGGCAAATAATGCACGACGTGGAATTCTCTGGGACGACATTCGGAGAACATGTCCAAGCCACCGAAGTCGGTGTTTCAAGATGGTGACACCAGTCATATACAACAAATACTTGCTATAAGTTAATAGAATTCATTACTCTTAATCTTCGAAATTATCATCAATAGCTTTACAAACTGAATATTCATTCATAGATTTCAAAAGAATATCAATTCAGTCAAATACATCTCAGCAGTATGTTTTACACTATAGGCTGACTTTGTCAACATATACCTTTTTATCAATCATTTTCACACTAACTAATCTCCAGGACAACTCGATGTTTATAATAATTATATCCATGATATTACTGAACTTCTAGATTAATTCTCGAAGTTTATGTGATAATGTAATCAATAGAGTTTAAACAAGCAAGATACCATTGATATCAACAGATGATAGCAACTGAATTTTGGCAAGCCGATTAGCTGATTAGAAATGTGAGCTATAAGAATTAAATTCAGTAGTTTGAAAGGAATGTATGTTATGAGACCTGTTTATCTCTGGTTTGATTCACTGAGTAGATATGGATTGTTGAAAAGTATCAAATTACAATGAAGTAGTTACCAACTGATTCTTATATTCAAATAGTTAATTCTTAATTTCTAATCAATATTTATTCTTCTAACTTAGAAAACAAAATTATCAATGAGAAACCATGACCAGTAGAGTTTAACCGGGTCGGTTGTGAAATAGTAACTCACTGATAACAATAATTAAACATGGCGCAATTTAGTAGATTAGTTAAAGTTAGATATTAACACGGTTTGATGCTGATTGGCTCAGTAGTCTACAGGTTACACGCTCGCAAGTGAGACTGATAGGTCTTAGGTTCGAATCTCGTGAGACGTGCATCATGGATGTGCACTGTTGAGGAGTCCTATACTAGGATAAAACGGCCGTCCAGTGCTTCCAGGTTTTCCATGGTGGTCTAGCTTCAATTGACTCATGATTTCAACTATTGAAATTTGTAAAAATCTCCACAAAACACCTTCTGATAATAATCATCTGCTCACTGGTGACTAACTTCAAGAGGCATTTGCTGGAGTTCTAGTGAGAAGCCATTACTAGTGGAGTTCAACCAAGTCTGTTGTAAGATATCAACTCACTGAAGACAATAGTGTACGGTGGCGAAACTTCGTGGATTGGTTGAAGCTAGACATTAACACTATTGGATGCCGATTGGCTCAGTGGTCTAGTTGGTTAAGCACTTGGTGTGAGACAAATAGTCCTTGGGTTCGAATGTCTCAGGAGGCGGGATCGTGGATGCGCACTGCTGAGGAGTCCCATACTAGGATGAAACGGCCGTCCAGTGCCTCCATGTTTTTCATGTTGATCTAGTTTCAATTGACTCATGATCTTAACGATTATAAATTACTAATAATATTCACAAATAACCCCTTTCTGAATATTGATTAGTTCATTATGGTATCAATGTAAATAAATAAATAAGTTGTCATCATTAAATAACAATAAATAAGTCATGTATATCCATATATGATTTATACTTTTTCTTGTTTTAATTCACTTCTAAACAACTGAATAATAACTATGTTCATTGTTCTTTATATATAACATTATTATCATTATAATAAACAACATTTATTGTTATTTATATGATAAATTATGATAAAAGTAAACAAATATTTATCGTAATAACAATAATAATATCAGAAGGGGTTTGTGGAGATTTTAGAAATTTCACAGATTGAAATTATGAGTCAATTGAAGCTAGACTACCATGGGAAACCTGGAAGCACTGGACGGCCGTTTCATCCCAGGATGGGACTCCTCAGTAGCGCACATCCAAGATCCCGCACCCCATGAGATTCGAACCCAGGACCTATCAGTCTCGTGCCAGGTGCTTAACCAACTAGACTACTGAGTCGGCATCCAACGGTGTTAATGTCTAACTTCAACCAATCCACAAAGTTACGCCACCGTATACTATTGTTTTCAGTGAGCTGATATTTCACAACAGACCTGGTTGAACTCCACTGGTAAACGGTTGTCCAGTGCTTCCTCTGCAATATCAATCATTCATTTCAAACATATTGGGTTTATATACAAACCAAACAGATCATATCATATCATAAAATAGAAAATAACATTTGTACAAAATCTAGCCCAAAAGAGGATGTGAATGTGGGAGGTAGTAATTAATAGACATAGGGCATAATTCAAGAATGATAAATCGTATAATAATAATTCATAGGTCAAAATAAAGCTTATCATGTGAAGAGCACAAATATGAATAGTTTGATTCCTTATTATATAAACGATAAAAATCTATGTATAGTATTGATTCATAAAAGAATCACAAAAGTTACCATTCATTATCCTCATCGGGATATAATACACTTTCCCCCCCTGGTAAAAAAATTTTTCATACAAAAGTTCTCTTCTCTTCTTTTTCTTTCTTTTTTTTCTTTTTAATACAATTTAGATTTGGTAAACGTCACTATAATCCCATTAAAGAGGATGATGATTTAATGAAATATGATTTAATCAATAATTATCTTCGTCAACGATTAATATAATAATATTTAATAGAATATTCTATAAATGATCCTGATCAGAATTATATTAGAAATCAATAATAATAATAATAATAATAATGAATGATTATTCAATATGGAAATACATGCATACATACATACCAGATATATATATATATATTGTTGGTCATGGTGATTAGTAATATTGGGGTTATGTATGTGTGTGTGTAAGTGTATGTGTGTGTATGTGTATGTGTATTATGATTGTATTTATTGCTAAAATGCAAAATATTGATTGAGTAAATAAAATAAATTTTTAAAGTAAAATCTTAATGTTCTAATATACGGAATGTCCAACAGTATTCTTCATTTAATCCTATCCAAATCTTTCCAGTTACTATTCATCCTTTTTATATTTGATTCTATTTCCTGATGTAATGTGTGTTGTTTTTTGTTGGCCATCTTCATCTGTGTTCACTTCCTTTCATGATTCCAAGTAAGAGCTTAGTTCGTGATTCAGTTTGATGATTACCTCAATATGTGTTTTATCCATTTCCACTGACTTTTTCTAATTTCCTTTTCAGTTGGAAGCATGCTCGTTCTCTTCTACACTAGGCAGTTGCTGATGGTATCCGGTCAATCGATCTGGAGTATCTTGAGTAGACAATTGTTCATAAATAATTGTATCGTTTTGATGATAGTTGTAGTAGCTCTTCAAGTTTCAGCTCCATAGAGTAGAACTGTCTTGACGTTTATATTGAAGACTCTGACTTTGATATTGGTTGAAAGTTGTTTTTGATTCGATATTTTCTTCAATTGTGGGAATGCAGCCCTTGCTTTGCCAATCCTCGCCTTTACGCCTGCATCTGAACCTCCTTGTTCATCGATGATGCTTCCAATGTATGTGAAGGAATCGACATCTTCCAGAGTTTCGCCATCAGGTGTGATTGGATTGCTGTTCTTCGTTTTGAATTTGAGGACCTTGGTTTTCCTCTTGTGTATGTTGAGGCCTACTGATGCAGAGACTACTGCTACGCTGGCTGTCTTTATCTGCATTTGTTCGTGTGTATGCGATAGGAGGACTAGATCATCTGCGAAGTCCAAATCGTCTGATTGTTTCTGAGTTGTTCATTGTATTCCGTGAAGGTCTTCATAATCTAGATATATAATTCATTTCATAGTTTACATTAATGAATGATTTTAATGAAACAATCAGTGAAATTCTAGAAGCTCTAGATAATTGTTTCATCATAGTTTGTATATCTACAATACGGATATAGATCGAATATATAAGAGAGCTCCTAACATCCGAGAATAATCTTCAAACTATTAATATAAATTGTTAGGATTTATAATAACACACTAAAATTCAGAGTTACCAGAGATTGCAAAATTCTTATTATAATACGAAATGAGAACTAAATGGATTGGACCAGTAATACAATAAAAAAAACAGCCGTAATAATCTATCTGTGAATAAGGGAATAAGAAATTAGGAACTCCGAAGAATGCTTAATATTCAAAGAAGTCACAACTGTATTGGTTCAAACTTAACCTGACAATGATAACTGCCTTTATAACTTTAACAGCACTCGGAATCAACTTAACAAGGTATATTATCTTTAAACACAGTAAAAAAACTAATTAAGAAAGAGAGCAACCAATAAGATATCAAGAAGGACAACTTAAGAAATATGAATCGAAAGATGTTACCGCGAACTTCCTAATACAACAGTACTGTGGTATTTGCTACTGATGTCGACAGATATATATAGTATGTCAGTCAGTCAGCTACAACGTAGGACCAGTCACATATATGCATCGGTCCAAGTTGCCATACCTCAATAGCACAGCAAGATTAACACCGGATTTATAGAAATAGTTAATTCAATGGTGGTAATATATAAAAAAGATTCCATATAAGGATATAGTACAGGAAGAAAGAATTAGTTCGTAGAAAGAAAGATATGAAGCGATTTTAATCTCATAGTTTAAGGGAAGACAGAGAGTGTATACACCGACGCCATTGTGATCGATCCTGAGCCATGTCACCCACAGTCTCTAACCATTGGTTACGATGGTCACGCGGACCCCAACCAAGTAGTCTGCATCTACCAATATGGCTAAAACTAGAAGTTAGTGACTTCAAGCACTGATGCCAAGTTTTAGCTATAAGTAGTATGTCTCATCACTAGAAAGTGGAATGACTGGTGGCAGAAGGTTAAGAAGATCGAAGAGAGGAGAACGAGAACAGAGAATGATTGGTGTGGAAACGAAGTAACAATGAAGACTGAGACGATTGATTAACATTTTGCAAATGAATTATTTACTATATGGTTCTCAGAATTTTGTATGAGATTGTCGCCACTTGTGTTCCCGTTCACTAAAGCAAAAAGACTCGAGATAATTTGTTGCCTTCTTAACAAAAATAACTGATATCACTGCTGGTATTGTATACCAGTTCAGAAATATCATAAATTATCTTAGTATTCTAAAGAGTATTATGTTCATCACTAAGAAATTCAAACATCCCAAGTTTGATTTCATACTAAAATTGTAAGTTTTTACTGTATGATATGTCAAAATTAAAACAATAACAGATGACCAATACTTCAATTGACATTAATTCATGTTTAACAGTAAATTACTTACTTACACCTGTTATTCCCAATGGAGCATAGGCTTACGACCAGCATTCTCCAACGCACTCTATCATGGGCCTTCCTTTCCTGTTCTGTCCAATTTTTGTTCATTTTTCTCAAATCTGTCTCCATCTCTCAGAGTAATGTGTTCTTTGGTCTTCTTTTCCTTTGGTTTTAAGGATTCCATGTGAGGGCTTGTCTTGTGATGCATTTGGATGCTTTCCTCAATATGTGTCCTATCCACTTCCAGCGATTCTTCCTGATTTCTTCCTCCGCTGGATTCTCATTTGTTCTCTCTCACAGTAGGTTGTTACTGATAGTGTCTGGTCAACCGTTTCGAAGTAGTTTGCATAGACAACTGTTGATGAATACTTGTATCTTCTGAATGATGGCTTTCGTAGTTCTCCAGGATTCCGCCCCATACAGTAGAACTGTTTTGACATTTGTATTGAAAATTCTGACTTTGATGTTAGTTAACAGACAGTTGTTTTGAGTTCTATATGTTCTTCAATTGTAGATATGCTGTTTTTGAGAGTAAAGAACCTTGCCTAACACCGATGTTTACTTCGAACGAGTCCGTGAGCTGTCCTCCATACACGATTTTGCAGTTTAATCCATCATAAGAATTCCATATAATATTGACTATTTTAACAATAAGTACTTTTTGAATACAACAAACTAATGTAATATTATTAACAAAATCAAACAAACTGATTTGTAATATTAAGCAGGAAGTGAAATGTGATTATATCAATTTACAAACATAAAATTAAAATGTTGCAATGGTAATTACAGATTACGAAATTAGAAGTAAAAAGAAAAACTTGGTAAAACACATAAATCCCATAGAGACAAAAAAACCAACGTAAAGAAAAAAGAACTGATCATCTTGAATAGTTTATTAGATGGAAGAGATTTCTTGTTATATATATAGAAAAATAGGCAAGACTGGGAATTGAAAGGTTCAGTTGTAAAATTACAGCATGAACATTTGATTGAGTTTATAAATCGATCAAAGTTAGACAATCATTGAAAATCTACAAGTATTGGACGGTCATTTCATCTTAGTATGGGACACTCTAGAAGTGCGTATCCATGGTCGCACACGCAAGATTCTGTTACAACTTTTACTCTGTGTTCTATCAATGTATAATGTGATGATACCGCCAGTTGGAGGACAGCAAATTATCGAATGGACCAATAACTCAGAAAATGTGTACGAACATCCTAGAGTCCTTATCGGTCCTGCTTCCTGCCTAGTCCAACTTGTTAAGTTCACAACACCGATCTCAACCTCTGCAATATTAATCATTCATTTCAAACATACTATGTTTATATACAAACCAAACAGATCATATCATATCATAAAATAGAAAATAACATTTGTACAAAATCTAGCCCATAAGTGAATGTAGGAGGTAGTAACTGATAGACAGGGGGCATAATTCAAGAATGGTAAATCGTATAATAATAATTCATAGGTCAAAATAAAGCTCATAATAAGAGGAACATGAATATGAATAGTTTAGTTACTTAACAGGTATGCAATAACAATATACGTATAGTATTAATTCATAAATGGATCCCAAAAGATTACGACACATTATTCTCATCCGGATATAACAGAGTCGAACACAGGACCTTCGGTCTCATAATCAATAAATTGTTTAGCCAAAAAAGAAATAATACCAACTAATTATTTGTTTAATTAAGACAGTATAATGATAACCTACAATAAATTTTGTTTAAATATAGTTAATAATAAGTTTACCTGGCTTTCTAAATAAACAACTAGGCTGATTCTATCAAATAGTTCTTTATGGAAAATTCTTAAATAACCAAATTTAACGGGATATTTCAACTCATTCACAGTCATAAACAATTAAGAACTTGAAGTAGATTCAACTATTCATATTACAAATTTTGGTTATTCATTCTCTGAAGAAGTGACTTACACTAAGTTACGAAACGTCAGAAAATCCAATTTTCTACTCATTGGGATATTACAAATATAGTATTTTTATTTATAACAATCTACCCAATGCTCAATTTATTCGAAATCATCAAATCAAACCTTGGTAATGATACCTATATTCATATTACTTTTTAATACAAGGAATTGAAATTATCAAGACAAATGCCAGAGCAGTAGATGTAGTAACAATATCAAAGGTAGTAGAAAACATTAGGCACAGTGTTATATTCCTCTCTCATGGTTATAACCCAACTATTCCTATTGCTTAGTATTCTCAGACACCGATTCACTCGACAAGTCCCCCAAATCAGAACACGGTTGGACAGGAGAAGAGATTATATTCCAAATAACAAGGTTAGATGGAAGTAAGAAGCAAGCAAGTGCAACAGGGAAAACGTTAGTATATTTATAGTTTTTCACATGGG